GAGGTGAGCCCGGCGGTGGGAGGCGGGGGAGAACCACTGGCCAAGGCTGCACTCGGACCAAAGGTTGCACTTCAAGCAGCTCCACCACTGGCTCTCCACCATCCCTGTCAGAAAGTGGGTCACCGCATCCTGCACCTGCTGCAGCTTCTAGCTGGTCTTCACGGGCAGCCCTATATAGAGGACATTTCAGTAGACGAGACTTAAAGTTATGAAGCCATGGATGATGGTGGCCAGATCTAAATCTGAAACAAAAGATTGTAGCCTTCTCACTAGTTGGAGTTGGTGAAAGGCACTCCTAGCCCCTGCTGCCCTCTGAAGATCTAGGTGCGAAATAGGATCCAGGAATATTCCAATGCTGTGAATATAAGTGATAAGAGGAGGTTGAACTCCATCACTGTCAGGTGTCCCAATCCCCCTCAAGTCAAGCAGTTTGCCAATGAGCATCACCTCTGGCTTGCCTAGATTCAATTTCAATTGGTTCACCCACATCCAATCCTGAAATGCAGCCAGGCACTGGGAAAGGACAGAGACCCTGGGGGCTCAGTCAGAAGAGAAGGAAAAGGAGATCTGGGTATCCTCAGCCTACTGATTGCACCTGAGTCCATATCTTCACACTATCTCAATCAGCAGCCTCATGTACACTTTGAACATAAGCTAGAAATGACAGATGGGCAGGGTTGGATCTGGAAGGGTCGGGAGAATGCAGCGATGCAGTAGCACCCATCCCCGCCTCCCCTTGGATTCCTGGTGTATCCAAAGTTTAAAACCAACTGCCTCACAGTGGCAGCAGCATTTCTATTCAGGCAGCAGTAAGGGATTTATTTGGCTTCAAAGGTTATTATAATCTACCTGATTCCTTCTAAACTCTTCATTCCACAGGTGCTAACAATGGTCTCTCCTTTTTTTTTTTAACAATCCACAAATCAAGCAACCCTTTTTTCTGTAATTCTGCTGTCTGTTATCTGTTCCTCCTAATGCAGCTCCTATTTCACAGCCATGCAGACTTTTTTTTTTACTTTAGCTAAAAATATTATTTCAGGTGTGGAAACAATAACAGATGAACATTAAGTGAGGTATGGAAATAATTTTCAATGAAGCATTGGATGTACTATTAAGAATCTCAAGGAGGCCAGATTTTTTTTTATTTATCTGAAAGAGGTGTACATTTAATTCTAATGGCAACAGGACTGAGGAAACATCATTTTTGGATTACTTTTTGCCTAGTTTGTTGTGTTGTCATACATTTTATATAATAGAGAAAATGAATTCACATTCCAATAAAGTCATATTCGTTTTTGCTTTGATCTTGAACTGAATAATACAGCCCTCAACCCCTAGCATATTAGTGAAGCTTCTAGTTTCTTTTTACTTGGAGAAAAATGTGCATTGTTTTATGTGATTTTGCACCACACCATCTGCATCCCTCTTTTCATAATCCTAGATTTGTCCATGGAGATGGGAGGTTTGCTGGGGTACACTGGTGCTCTTACTGGTACTGACAAACGTCTGGCATGCCTGGCTGGTGAGGTTTACTAACCTCAGCAGGATTAAACTGATTGCCAGATTTGGGTTCAGGAAGGAAATTTCCCAGGCCAGACTGGCAGTAAATGCTTTTATTTGGTTTGGTGATGGGGTTGTCTATTTGTTTGTCTGCTTGCTTTTCTCCGAATACAGGGCAGGGTTCACTTCCTAGGATCATCTAGCCATATATTACCTAACAAATTCCCTATCCTGGCAACTGCCCAAGACACTGGTAGCATCATGGCCTCTCCTACTTTCTCCCTGTGGCACACTGTCATTTTTTGAAGGCCTTACTTTTTTTTTGTACTTAAGGATCCTAAATTGCTATTGGCCAGTGCCTTTGGGCTGTGATGTGCAGGAAGGGTCAGAGGGGATGTTCTTGTGGACTGTTTTGGACTAAGTATCTATTACACGGTTGCCTGCAACCACAAGGGACTGGACTTGATGACCTAGGTGGTCCTTTCCAGTCTTATGTTCCATGCAGAATCTTTGTTTTCAGTTGCCAAAAGGATATTGTTCTAGGTTACTTTTCACAATTCAGCAATAATTAAGCGGCACCTCTACCAGTTGCAGTGCTGATCACATGACAACATGTATTAATGCTCTGGCAGTATTTTCTGATAATGAATAACTGCTGTTGACACTGTAGGTAAGGATTAAAATGGGGAAAATAACAGCCAAGTTCTTTGGAGTTTGCATAAGCCCCTGCTGACTAGTCATTCTCAACTGCTTTTGGGATCAATATCGAATACTGATGGACAGTGTCAAGCCAATGTCAGCACTGTGGATTAATTCTGAGCTCATTATAATGAAGTATAAAGGTCAGAGAGAACTAGTCCTAACTTTTATGGGTCAAACGGATATTGGAACAGATAAAAACAAAGCAGGTTACAGAGCGTCTGAGCTCTCCTAACTATTATTGGAAAGCTACAGCCATCATTAGCTTGCTAAAAATAAAATGATTCTAAAAGGATTAAAACATTCTACAAGAAAGAATTATTATCACCTAGTGACTTCTTTAATACAATGTAGTCCATAATCTCCTTTGTAAGTGTAATTCAGGCAAAGCCAAACACTTATTAGCAACAAAGGGCAAATTAATTTTCATTGCTACATTAAAAAAAGAAACCTATAGATTTCTGTTTAGCTGCCAAACCTAATGTTGTCATAGTTAAGGCCTGAAAAATAATTGTTAGCCCACATCAGTGTTTTTTAAAACAGAAGTAAACATTTAAGAGGGATTTGATTTGGAGCACCTGTACAATGTTGTACATTAAATACAAATGAAATATATACCTCAGCCTGATCTGTTTGCTGTTAATTATTACTGTTTTCATCTCTTTCGATCTCAGATTTGTAATTTATCAATAGTAAATACAAGTTCTCCTTATTTATGTCTCAGAATTAGTTATCATCGGGTAGGCACTTTCAGCGTGGTGGAATCTTATTTACTGCCAGGCAGCCACGCTCTAGGCTCATGTCTGCTCTCTACAGCCATATGCAGAGATTCTGGCTCCTTCTTTACCGCTAGAGCTGGGAAAATTGCTTTTTGCTCTGGGGTGCAGTAGCCCTAGTGCAGCTACTGTCATGAGGAAGAGAAGAGCTGGAATAGAGTCGTTTATCATGTGGTGTAAAAAAACCCAACCCCCATCCTTCCCCCCCCTCCCCCCCACAAAAAACACCCCAAAACCCCTCAGCCAAACAAAATAAAAGCCCACCTAACATGATGTCAGGGAAAAGGGTGCTGATAAATGTTTTTTCCCCTCATACTGTTTGCCAAGTGTTGGGAGTGGGAGGAATTTTTGACCCAGTCTTCAGCCTTTGGTTGACAGCTTTTCATGTCTAGCAACAAAGTTTGAGGCACAGGATCTCCCTGGATGCCATTCAGTTGGGAGTAGCTGAATACAGAATATCTCATTCCTAGGCTGCAGGGGTTTAGGTTGTAGCCGTGTTGGTCTAAGGATATAGGCAGACAAGGTTCCTTGGGTGAATTTGATATATTTTATTAGACCAACCCAAATGGTTGGAGAATAGTTATTAAGCAAGCTTTCGGGTTCAAAAACCCTTCATCAGGCTAAGGAAGCTGCAGCAGTTGGTGTGTGCTCTTCCTGGATGGAATGAAAAGTAAAGAAGCCAGGGGCTGGGCTGGGCTGGGGAGTCAGTTGCCAGGTAGATTGTAATGTATCAAAAATCCAATGTCCATGTTTAGTCCATGATCTCTAGTATCCAGCAGGTTGATGAAATGGAGCTCATAGGCTCGTCTCTGGGATGCGTTGTGTAAATTTCCCTTGAGGATCAGGACTGAGAGATTGGAGAGAGAGTGGCCCTCCTGTGAGAAATGTGCCCCCACCAGTAATTGGGTGTTTCTGTCTTTGATAGATTTCCGGTGTGCATTCATTCTGGTGCGCAGTTGTTGTCTGGTCTCTCCTACATATCTTCCATCAGGACATTTGGTGCATTGGATGAGGTATACTACATTCCTGGAGGTGCAGCTTCATTCCTAGGCTGGCATTTTGGGGAGGAGTGCTACTTCCCTATACCTTTTCCAACATGCCTACTGCCACAAGCATGTCATGGATTCCATTTGTGGGATGGGGAGAAGGTTTGGCAGCTACTTACTCATGTCATAACTGCCTTTGAGGATTAGGCTGGAGGATCTAGCTAGATAATCGCAGTCCAAAGCCTGGCAGGGTAGGGGAGCTATTTTCAGCTGCATACTACACACAAAGGAAGAGCCAACATTTGGCCAGTGCATACAGACCTTTTTCATCTCTCTTGTGAATCTTGTGTTTCAGGCACTTTGTTTCTATAGGCACTTTGTTTCTACTTACAGTTCAACACTACAGCAGCCTTGAATTATAATAAAAATGTACTGATATTAGATCGTAAATATGCACACAGGCTCAGCCATGGATTTGCAGAGTGTGTGGGATTGTGCTCATGTCTGAATATATTTCTTATTCTTAATTGGGAATGGCTGAATAATATATTTGCAACAAAAATACTTTAAGCTATCAGATAATTCTTTATTTTCTCATAGTCAGCAACTACTGAGGGCCCCTCAAGTTATGGTACAATATATGTGTGAGAAAGCTATAGCTTTGAACATACCATATCTGTGTACAATTGCTAGTATACTCTGTTAGCAGTAGCAAGATCAGCTGTTTGTAATGGGAGGGAAAAGGTAAAAAAAATGCAGGATTTTAATTTTTTTTTTAATTAAATTATTAAAACCCTTTATTAAGAATTAACTAATGGGTTGCCCTCGTATATCCCACTCAAATGTTGTTTGCAATGAGCTAGTAAAATTTTTATGAGAGCTTTCCTTTCGAATGGATTTACCGGAATTATTTTATAAAGTCCTTGACTTGTAAAAAAAACCCCAAACCCTAAAAGTACTTTATTTCAGAAGTCATGCCACAACAAACATGCTGCTTTTTAATAGAGTATACAAAGGTGATACAAAAAGAAAATATTACCTGCTTGTGCAGCTGTTATTAGAGCTGTGTTCCCTTCATTGTCTTGCCAGTTTACATCAAGATGAGGGCACTGTGCTAAGGCTATTACAATATCCACAAAACCTTGGTAGCAGGCAACAATAAGGCCATTCTGCAAATAATAAAATAGTAGGTAGTTAAGAATAAAGAAACTCAGAGCAAGGCATTGATGAAATATTGTATTGATGAAACAGCATAAGTTGCACAATACTTAAGTGTAGAGCCAGCACAATGAGGCAATTTGGGTTAGGTGTTTAGAGTCGATCTGAGTTTCTACAAAGCTTGGTATATGTTGTTAGATCTGGAGGTCTTATTCAAGCCAGCATTTTTAGGGCCACAGCAATCCTAGAGCTACTCACACTACAAGGAGTGCTCTCTGCAGTGTGTCCCAAGAGTGCATAACACTGCAGGGGGCAGAGAACTGATGAGAGTATAACTGTATCCTCCAAGAGCCACCAATGAAAGAATGTACTGTAGGCACATTCTTCTAAAGAAGTGACTTAGAAGAATCCTAAGCACCCTAAGATCCTTTCAAGGACGATGCAGGGTGCCTTACAATGTGAATCATGTCTGTACTCTTAGCAGTGCTAACAAGGCAAACCCAGAGATTTCAAATAGAAATCCAGTGTGTCAAAAACATTCTGACCTGTTCTGATCTTTCTGCATTTTTTGCAAAGCAGGATTGGCTATTTTTCTGTAGTCAAAAATAGAGTGGAAACCATGAACTGGCATTTTTTGAGGAGTGCCTTGAGTCTATCAAAGGTTATATCAAGTTTATCCATAGTGCTTTGGCTCCAAAAATGGTAAGAAACATTCCTTTAAAAGCAACGGTGGGCAAAATATGGCCTGTGGGCCAGATCCAGCCCATGGAGCAATCTTACCTGGCCCATGATGGGTACCTTAGCCCCACCCGGCCCAGGCATGGGGGCAGCCCAGGCTGTGGTACATACAGCAGGTTCTGCTGCCCCTGAGTGTTCAGTGGGGCTGGGGTGGCACGGCAGCCAGACTCTGTTTCCCAGCAGCCACAGCAGCGGTGGCTCCTTACAGCTGCTGGTGCTGGACTCAGGCCCATCTACCCAGCACCCACCACTGGGGGCAGGATCCAGGCAGGCAGGGCATGCAGTTGGGCAGCTGGGATAGGGCTGTGGGCCAGCGAAAAGCAGCATCTGGGAGCAAAACAGGCAGATGGGGCTGGGAAGACCCCAAGATCTTGGGGTGGTGCCAGTGTGGGGCCGTGGCCAAGCCGTGATCCACTGCCTGCAACAGGCACATGGGTAGGGGAGTGCAGGGAGTGGATAGTGGCTCCATCCCAGCCTGGCCCCATACTGTCACCACCCCATGATCCCAATCCCGTATGCAGCTCTCTGCCTGGTCATGTGCCCTACCCACACAGCTCTTGGCCCTGGACTGGGATACAACATGTGGCCAGGAAGGGAGCTACATCCAGGGCTGGGGCTAGGATCTTGGGGCAGTGACATCACGGGGCTGGGGCAGACCCATGATCCATTCCCTGAACATCCCTGCCTGCGGAGCCCACGCCCATCACAGGGGCACGCGGGTAGCAGATCATGGCTTGGCCCTGCTGCTGGCCTCACATTGTCACTGCCCCGCAACCCTGCCCTGTGATTCTGGCTTCACCCACCCATCCTGCTCCTGAACACCACTCCCCATGCGCCCATGTCCCCCATCCAACATAGGAGTTTTGGTGACTTGTTGTACAAGACACAGGGCTGACCCAGTCCATGGCAGCCCAACAAAACCCCGTATGTGGCCCATGGGCCTAAATAATTGTTCACTCTTGCTCTAAAGGCATGGTTGTGTGTAACATGCATTACTGACATAAATGACAAATGTCAATGTTGAGTCTATTTGAAAAGTCAATGGATTAGATTTGGGTTGTTATTTTTTTAATTTAAATGACTTAATTTTAAAAAACCCACAACTGCTCATAATATATATTTTAAAAATACTAAATGATCTCAAACAACCCTAAATGACATGGAAAATGTAACCCATAGGGCTCCCTTACCTACCATTTGCAAACAGATAGGCAAGAGAAGCAAGGCTTTTTGTGGTTTCTTTTATTGGACCAATTGTTTAGTTGGGAGATTGTCAAACATGTTTTTGGGCCTCAAGTGCCCTTCCTCAGGTAGATGTAGGCAATATTATTTCTAGTGCAGCTAGCTCATAAGCACACTTTTCAATTATACAGCAATCAGAAGACAACAGAAATCCAGAGACATTTCTGAAAGCGCAACAAAGACTAATATTAAAAGACTGACTAGTGGGCTAAGAAACCTGTAAGGTTTTGACTTTAATTCAGGAAAGTCGAATTTAAAGTATCTATTGCACACTACCCTCTCTGTCTTTATACTTACTACAGTGTGACGGGATGTACATGATATTCTCACATAGCAGTAGACAATGCATCATGCCATTGGGCAAATTATTATTTTAGAAATATGCTCCAGCTATATGCAACCATATAAATATTTTGTATCCAAATCATAGTAAGTTAGCAGATGTTACTACACAGCAAGCTGAACACCACAAGTTCCAAGACCATGGAGCAATATTTCATTTGGCCATTTAAAAAGAATGTTTTTGTCCAGTGGGTAGTTTTAAGTTCATAATACCTGTGGCTAATTTGAAATATTTAAGATATCACTTTGCAACTAACTTTTATCCTACTATAAATAAATAAAAAGATTGCTTTAAAAAGTCCCAGTTGAATGTTTTTGAGGACAACTGGAAGTTATGTGAAATCTCCATGAGGAATGAGGTAGGAATTGCACCTGACCAACCAAATTTGACCTCAGCACTGTTTCACTCAAAAGCAAGGAAAAACTGCTCCCATGAAATGTAAAAATAGTCTTGCCATTGATTAAATGGAACCAGTGGACTTAACCCAAAACATTTCACTTGCCCATTAAAATTTTTTATTTAAATCTCATTTTTTCAGGATTCACACTACTCTGCTGAATGCAAAATAAGAGAAAGGAGGTTTGGTGGGTGTAAGGTCAAAGGTTCTTCTGAGCCTAGTGGCTAATTGGAAGTGCACGGTTAACGCGTGCCAGTTTCTTCAGTCAGTGGCATCCAAGGGCATGATGTGGTCAGTTTTTTGTTTCCCAACCTGAATGAGCAGGATTTTATTTACTGGTGCATCAGCCAGGGGTCATCCTTGGCACCACCACACCTCCAGAAAGAGGCTTGGAGCCACATCTCCAAAGCCATAACATGCTACCTTAATCACTCTGATATCGTACCCTACAACCAAAAGGGCTTGGTGAAGTTCAGTGGCTTCTTCCACTACCAATATAAGTTCTTAGGAGTGCTGGCTGTGATCTCAGAAAAACTAACAGCTCAACACAGGATAGCAACAAATAGTGCTCACTTCTGGGACATTCCATCCAGGCAGAAAGGACCAGAGAGGACACTTGTTAAATAATTTATGACCACCAAATTATTAGAAAAATGGAAGATAACTGGATTTAAAAAAATGAAACCCAACAGCATGGCAAACACAAACCTCACAATTTTTTTTTCTGTTCAAAGGGTCAGCATAGTTCCACTTGACTCCTATCTGGTCCCTACATAATCTGAGGGTTGTCAACATTAGCAGGGTCTTCCCTGAACTCCAGCTGGTTAATGGTCAATAAGCCCAAGGAAAATCCCCTTATAGTTATCCCTTGGGCTACAATCCTTTAGTGACAGGACAGGCAGAGTAACAGAATGAAGTAAATACAGGTTTCTCTCACTTTATGCGGGTTCTGTATGTGTGAATTGACTTTTATGTGATGACCCTTTTTATACCAAAAATTTGTTATATGCAAGGTAAATTCACTCTTATGCTATTGGTGTGGTGGAAGCCCACAGTCAGCTGCTTTGTGCACTGCATTGTGGGAATGACATACACCAAAATATAGCTTCCTGTGTGGATCTGTGCTCCTTGCTTGTTGTCTGCGACACATGTTTCTGTAGTTGCCATCCCCATTATGGTAACATTCATCACCACCCTGTGCTTGTGTGTACTGTCCACTGTTGGTGAATATCAAAATTGTCTTGTAAAAGTGGTAGAAATGGGTCTGGGAGTCAGTACAGTCGAGGTCTTGGAACGTATTCCTATTTGTTACATTGTAAGGTGGGTTCCCTTTATGCAAATTTGAGTTATGCGCTGTTTTCCAGGAACGCACGTACAGTATAAAGCAAGGGAAGCCTGTACTGACTATTAATGTGTATTTTCTTTCTTTGGACAAACTGAAACCAGCAGCAGGGAACCACCTGATCTATAGATGCTTTTCATGAATTACAAATCTCCGAAGTTATACATTTTTCATAGCTATTGGTCCAAATGAGCTTGTAAAGGGAAGCGATCTATAGAAACCATCTCTAATCTTTAAAATTATTTTTTTTTACTAAGAAAAACAATACTGAATCTATACAAATATAAGGTTTTTCCCCCACCCCAATCACCATGGGGAAAAAAACTCTTCATTTTATAACTGCATACAAGGAAACTACATTAAATACATTGTCTATCATTAAACTGCTGCCCAAAACAGTATGTGCTCAGTAACAGAACTCAACTCTGAAGTTGAGTAAATGCAGCCAATCACTGAGGATAGGTTAGTGTAGCTCATCTGAATAAAATATGTGCTAGTGTCTATTGCATGCAGTCTCCCTCAGCACCAACTCTTTTTCTAGTAAGGCGAGTCACTACACCGAATACATTTTTATATCCTTTTCACTCCCACAGCTGAGCTGCACCTTTCTTTCCCATTTCCAGTCACTGCTGTTTGTTCACTAGCCTTAAAAGATTGTCAAGTGGGGTCCCAAACAGTTCATCCAGCATCCCTTGGTCACCCCCTCTCTCAGCCTGTCATTTATGATTAGTGTGGCCACATCTCCATGAGGTGGATCTGGACCATGGTGTCCTGCACCTCATCTGCATATTAATTTTTGGAGATTCCAGGACTTGTGACTAGAACACCCATTTCTTGTCATAAGTGGGGGGCTAATTAGCATGTGGATCCTTTGTGCGTATATGAGGGGTGGGGGAGTGTATCTGGAGTATAACACATACTGACCAGTGCTGAGCTGTGGGATCAGCAT